GTAGTGACTGTGTGCAGGTAAATTTTCACCTGAAATCGTTTTACTTCCACCTGTTTCCTTTGAAGAGTTTGCACAATACAAAAACCTGTCGACTATTTGAGTCCAAGTTCCAAAACCAAGTACTACTTCTGGTCTGGTAGAGTTCATTGAAACATATAATGAGCCAACCGGGTAAATAAGATTCGGCAAAATTTGTTTAAGCACATTGAGTTCCTGTCTTAGATGCATAATACTATTGTCATTAGATATCAAAGTATCTACAAGACTTGTTGCCGGTGGTATTGTTGGACCTTTACTTGGCAAGGTTGTGTTTAGTGTAATATCATCTGCTGTAAAAGTTGTAAAACTTGTATGTGTATGAGTCTTATCTGCTTTCTTCTCTAACTCATCGTTAACATAAGTTTTATCTGCTTTAAGGTCTAAACATCCTGAAACCCATCCTGTATCAGCTTTAACTTTAAAAGTCTCCGATGTCCATTCATGATACCATTCAACCCTTTCTTTAATTTCATTATCTTTTTCATCCACATATTCCTTATCCGCTTTCTTCTCTAACACACTAGCCACATATTCCTTATCCGCTTTCTTTTCAAGGCTAACGTTTAAGTTTGTAATATCAGATATAGAATGTATATGAGTCTTTTTAGAATATTCGTTTTCAGCTCTTGTCACTTCACTTGACATTTTATTGTCAACATATGTTTTGTCTGCTAGTTCAGGATGAGTATGTTCTTTTGTTGCATAAGCATTGTTAGCTCTTTCTTCTTCTTTTGCTATTGCATCGTCTACATATTCTTTGTCAGCTTTGTTGTCAACATCTGCTTTCAAAAGAAGTTCATTTATAGGTTTCTCGTTTAAAGTTCCTTTTGTTGGATTTATACAGACAGTATTGTTCTTCTTGTCTTGAAATAGAAACTCATCTGTTAAAGGGTTTAATGTCAGTTTTAAGTTTCCTTCTTTCAATGACTCAGATATCTTAGAATAGTTTGAAAAGTTTGTTGTGTTCTTATTTAGAGCTTGCATAATGAGTTGTCGGTTGTGTTGTATTTCTCTCATAGACGCTGTTTCATTTGACATTTTTATTCTAGATAAAATATGCTTTCAATAGAAAAAGAAAATTCAAGAGTTGCTACAACTAAACCATTAGATGAACTTTTTACTAATGTCGGTCAAAAGTTTGAGACAGAGACCGTAAAGCATGAAGGCTATCGTTTTGACTACCCATTAAGATGGCTAAGAGACCCATCTGTCACAAAAGCTATTGGCTTTCGTAGAATGAAGTTCATTTCAGAAGCCATACATGGTTTCCCATTTACGGTCGGTTTTGAAGTTCGATACTATAACAAAGAAAAACGTATGTATGAGAAATTTGAACAGGGAAAACTTTTACAAGTTAGTTTGCTTGTAAACTTAGAAACAACTCTTCAAGCTTTTCAAGAAAAAATAAACGATATCTATATCGAATATGCAAAACAGTATAACATTGACGAGGGAGAATACCATCTCGATATTATTTATGACAGGAAAAATGCAACTGTTAAAATCAATAGAATAGAAGACCTTGGAGAAAACGTTTATATTTCTACAAAATATAACAACTTGGCATGGTATAGATTTATGAGGATGTTAAATCAGCCTGCAGCATATCCAGTACACCCAGACTTTTATGAAGTCGAAAACCCTAATGGAACATATGAAAATGTTTTCGACCCAGCTGCTATTATTGTTCATGCTTCATTTTCTGGCGCCCAAAACTCTTTCTTATGCTTGGCAAATGACTTTTACGAAAAACCTACAAAGTTATACGAACCACCAAGTGGAAGTATTTCAGACTTTCAAGTATGGTTTACTACAGATGGAAGAAAAAGAATAATTCCATTATACCATGCGTTTTACTTAGAACTTAGTTTCATATACAACTACTATCGAACGGTAAAAATATAATTTTTTAATAGGTTTGAGGTGTTGGATTTGGTTGCCAACTAGACTGTGGTGCAGGTTCAGGCTGTTGTATAACAGGAGCTTGTTCTTCTGGTTCAGGGTCTTTAGGTATAATACCAACGAACTGACCTACTCTTTTACCAATATTTTTGACTCCGTTCCAAATTCCTCTTCCTACGGTTTTATTCCATTCCATATACCTCTTCCAACTCTTCTGAAGAAGTTTCCAATACTACTGAAGAAACCCATTTTACTATATGTAAAAATCTAATGTCCGCCTAGTCTCTTACGTTTCCTGTTGAGTTCCATAGCATTCTTTAACTGGAGCTCATACATTCTGTTTCTCCTCTGGTAGAAAACATATTCTGGGTCACTCCTGTGTTCGCGTCATCTGCATAAAGTTGTTTATATCCCACTTCAGGTTTGTATAAAACTCTTTCCATCTCATATTTGCATACCATGGTGGCAAACCTAACGCAGCGTCATTTGACATGGCAGTTTGCATTTGTACATCTGTTGGCACTTGACCATAGTTTGCCATTGCAGTTTGTATTCTAACTTCATTTGGAATATTCTCTGGGTTTGGTTGTCCAGGTTGCTGTGCATTCGCTAAGTTCTGTGCGTCCATTTAATATTAGATAAAAATATCTCTTACGAGTACATATACTGAACATTTGCAGGCATTGGTTCATCTTCATATTCTCTATATCTTTCTGCCACGTCAAAGAAATAAATGACACAATGGAAAAAACCTAAAACAAGTAGTCCTATTTCAAACCACATTTACTTACTAATAAAATTTCTTTGTTATGACACTTTCTCCGGTTTATAGGACCTCTCTCATATTCTATCTTGTCATATTTAAACACATAGTCATGTATGTCCTCTAACCATCTCATAACGGTTTCCAAACCACTTTTATCGGATGTAAAGTAAAAGCATGGATGGTTATGTAAAACGTCTAAAGTTTCTAAAGAGTCTCTCAAAGTATACTTCCTTGGAACGCCCGTAACTTTTCCTGTAGCGACGTTAGACCCTTACTTGTCCGGACAAAGTTATACTATTTTGAGTGCTCTACAAAAAAGTCAACAACGACGACTCTCAAAAATTTTTTATGGGCTAGAGGGCGCAACGCGCCTGGAAGCCCATCCCAAGAAAAAAAAAACTTCATTTATACTAAACATCTTCAGGGCTAGAGGGCACGAAGTGCCTGGAAGCCCCACTACCTTTTTTTTTTTTTTTATTATTCATATTTTTGATTTTGAATTACGGAAAAAGTGAGTTCAGAACTTCCAATTATTATTTGATTAATTATGTTAAAAATACTATAAGGAATTAAAATACATAATGTTGAAATTTGAATTACGGAAAAAGTGAGGGTGAAAGTGAAGTGAAAAAGTAAGATATTTTTTGTTGAAATAATCATAGTTGTACAATTTTGAAACTATATGTAAAGCTATAAATTGAATAAATTCAAAAACAAAAATTGTTTATTCTTATTAATAAATTTATATTAATCAATATTTGAACAACCCGTAATTAAAATTGAATTCCTCTTAAAATTTAATCCATACGTTAATTTTTAATTTGCTCGGCGAATGCCGAGCTTCCCTACTTCTCTTGTCATTCCTTCAAAAACTCTAATCTCATCGCACTTACAAACATCATGATTTGATGTATTGTCGAGAAATCTTAGACTTGTTTGTCATTTGATTATAGCATTTGAAAGTCATCTCGAAAATCGATTAACAAGACAATTTCCCAAACATCTACATACAAGTAGATGATGGTAAACCCATTAGAGTTGTTTTGCTATGATTCCTCCAATCTTATGATGAGAAAAATCATATCAAAACAGCTCTAACCGAACATTCTACACAGCTTAGCATCCAGCTAGTTCCAAGTAATGCGATTACAACATCAACGGCCAAAGCCTTTCAGAGTCCTTTAATCATTTCTTCTCATCTCAATGTGAAGTGGCCCCAAACGAACTACAAGCTGACGTTACAACGCATTACAACCCGGTTAATACGAGCATATACATTAGAGCTGCTTTGTTATGATCTCCCTCATCAATTGATGAGAGATCTCATTATGAAGCAGCTCCAATCGAACTAAAAACCTACATACAAATGAGTGAAAACAAACTCATTAGAGTTGTGTTGCTTTGATTTCTCTCATCAGAAGATGAGAGATACCAGAACAAAACAACTCTAATCAAACTTTCTACACAACTCAGCACAGTATCAATGCAAAGTAATGCGTCTGTATCGTTAACAAGCAAAGTTGTTTCGGGTCCTTCCATTTTGGAAGAATTCGGAACAACTTTGCGAATTGATAGTGTAAACCCATATACATGAAAGCGTGCATGCATAAAGACAGGTATTGTCAGCAATGACTACCTGCCCAGCTATGAGTGATCAGAGAATTACCATCTCAGGCTTTTTGAGAACGTTTCAGCCAGGACCCTCGTATGTTGACTGTGAGAAAGGCATCCTTTATCTGAAATAGATGCTTTTCCAACAATCAAATTCGAAGATCTTCGACGTTGTTGTAAAAAGAGAAGGAGAAGGAAAGAAGAGGAAGGAGAGGAAGAAGGAAAGGAAAAGGAGAAGAAGAAAAAAGAAAAAAAAATAAAAAAAGAAGGACATATTAAATATAATGCGCACTTAATAGTGCCGAGGCGGCGGAGCCGCCGAGGCGCGATTTTTTTGACCCTATATTACCGCACGGCAATGTTTTTCTCGATTTTGTACAGCCCTAATCTATTCTTTCTATACACTAAATAGTGAAGATATACTTTTGAAATTTTTGAAGTTATCGTCATTACACTCAATGAGTTTGGAGATTTTTATTGTTTCTTTTTATATATAATGATTGAATGAAATGAAGCTTACTGAATATGAAACTATTTTCCGCCATTAAATATACCCTTTCCTTTTTCTTGTTTCCTTACTCTCTAAGAATTATATTTCTAGTTTCCGTATTGCACTATAAAGATGAAATAGAAATCAAAACGATAGATATTTTTATAAACAATAACAAGTTATATATAAAACTTATGAAGAATAACTTAACTTTTGCTTTGACAAAGCATTTTCAGCAACAATTCTTGCTTGCTTTTCTTCAATTGCGAGTCTGAGTTCAGTTATACTTTCAGATGTAAAGCTCTGTCCAGTCAATGAAACATATAATTTCCTTGCCCAGTTTAACCAAGCTCTTGCACAATTTTCTGATCTTGCATCTGATATTTGCCTGCTCTGACGTGTCAACAATGATCTTGTATGTGTCTTATATATGTCATCATCATCTAAAATCTTAACAAGGTTTTCAATGAAGAAAATCAATGGTTTCTCATCAACATTGAAATTTTCTCTAATTTCTATGTTTTCTTTCGCAAGTTGCTCAGTGACTTCGAAGAAAGAAGAAACAGAAAATGTAATATTAGATACAGCCAATGCTTTGCAGACTAAGTCAAAGATAGATTTGCAATTCGAGAAATCAGCTTCAACATCTTTTCTCAAAACTGATAAATACTTTTCTTTTATTTCATTTTTGACTTGTTTTTTAATGTTTTTCAGAGTATTTGGAGAATAAGAATTCGTAGTTATTTTCTCTGTTTCTTCATCTATCTCGAGATATGATTGTCTAAACTCTTTCTCGATGGTTGGCGTCAAGAATGAAATGATATCATTTTTAAGTTTGATTAAATCTTTGTTATTTGTTGATTCACTCATGAATTCATTACGAATCTCGTCAATAACTATTTGTCTTAGCTCTGTTTTCATTCTTCTCTGATTTTCATGAGGAACAAATGATGTTTCGTATTTAAATTTAATTTCATTTTCAATTTTTTCTCGTAATTCGTTTTCAATCTTCATTCTCAGCTCGAATTCAAGTTGCTTCCTCATCTCATTCTCCATCTCAATCTTCTTACGTAGCAATTCTGTATCAGTTTTTGCTGATGAATTTGAAGAATTGGGAGAATCAGAAATAGAATCAAAATAATTTCTTCTTTTATATCTGTTTTCTACTTCTCTTGTAATTCTTTCGATCGATTCATCATAAATTTGCTGATAAATTTGATTTCTAATTTTATTTTCTTTTTCAACTGAAATTGGTGAAGAAACATTTTCTGATGCAATGTTTATTCTAATTTCCTTCTCCAAAGCATTTCTAAATGCTTGTTTCAGATCATGAAATTCTGAATCAATTTCTGTTGAATTTGAGAACTCATTTATCAATTTTTGCTTGGTTTCATCGTAAATCTGTCTTCTTAAATCATTTTCGAGCATTTGTAATTTAATTTTATTTTCTTGGTCCATTTTTTGTTGCAATTCTTCTTTTATTCTTAATATATTAGAGCTGTTATTACCATTCCTTCTGTTTTCTTCCTCAATTTGTATTCTGACATCTTCAATTACAGAATCTCGGATTTGTTGAGAGAGTTTTTGTCTAATTTCTCTTTGAAGTGTAACAGTAAGTTGAGTTTGAAGTGCTGGCTTAATTTCATGCTCAATCTTGTCATTCATTCTTTCATTATATTCTTTTGTCAAAGTTTCTCTAATTTTCTGTTCTATTTCTCTTCTGATTCTAATTTCATTATCATTCAGTTGAAGTTGCAACTGATAGTTCATGTCATTTTGAATCTTCTGCTTTAATTTTGAAGAAATTTCTTCTGTCAATGTTTTTGTTAATTCTTGACGAATCTTTTCAGTTTCAGATTGACGAACTTCCAAAGTTATTTGTCTTCTTAAGTTCTGTTCTATTTCTACACTCAATTTTTCTCTGATTTGAAATTCAAGTTCATCTTTTATTCTTTCTCGAAGTTTTTGCTCAAGTTCCTTCTTGATGATTGGTCTGAAATGGAATTCGGCTTCGAGCCAGACATCCTTTCTTACATCATCTATGACTTGGTTTCTGATTTCATTTGTAATTTGAGTTTTAAGTTCACGAATAAGCTTTGAATCAGAAGTATCAACAGGACTTGTATTAGTTCTGACTGGCTTGTATTCGGCTTGGAGTTGTAATCGTATTTTTTCTCTTTCTTCAGTTAATTTTAATTCATATTCTGCTCTGATGTTATCTTCAAGTATTTCTCGCAAATTAGAAGTGTTGTTAAGAGAATATTGGTTTGATAATTCTGAAATTTTCTGCTGTAATTGAGCAATTTTAGATTGATATTTTAATTCAAGTTCATTTTCAATTGAAATTCTAAGTTGTTCGTTTGGCTGCGATCTAGACTGAAGTAATTGTTGTACAATATATGCTTCTTGTATTAATAGAACTTTAAGCTCACTTATTGAGACATTTTCATCATTTGCTAATTGACAAAGTACTCTGGTTCGCATTTCTGGATCAAACCCCTGATCAAAAAGTCTGCTTATAGAATAAAGAGGTGTATTTGGTTGGGAAATTAATGTCGAAATTAATTCTGTTGATTTAGCTGCTTGTTCGGCAAGAAAACCTCTAGTTCCTTGTTTTAAAAATGTTCTTCCGCTCTGCTGAGATATTAAAAACAAAGAATGAGGATCTTGTCCTTTGCTAAGTCGTAATAAGAATTCAATGTGGCCATTGATTTGGTAGCAAAGTCGATATATTGATGCATCACCTTGTAGGTTCAGATCGTATAAATATTTCATAAGTTCATCTTGTTGAATTTGTTTATCTGTAATTGATTGAATTTCTTTGAGTTTGTTCATTCTGATTACATCATATTCATTAGTTGAATCTATGAGACTCTCTAAGATCCCGGAAACAGTTCCACTTTGCGGAAATTGTCGATTTATGTAGGAAAAACGATTCATTTTTAAACGGTCACCTTTTTATACGAAATTTATTTTCAATTTCTCGTCAAATCGAAATTATTCCAAACATCAGAATCAAATTATTCGATTTAGCTACTATTTTGATGTTTGTTGGATATAAATTGGTAAGATATTCTTGTAATTTTTAAATTTTTATATTTATTTTCAAGAGCAACATCCGAAATTATATCCAAAAAGGTTTGCGAGACTGTACATTAGTAAGGATCTAAAAACATTCATTAGTTTAAATACAAATATTATTTATTCTATTGATTTTTACTGTATTACATCAGTACAATATGTATTTTCCTACAATATTGTTAAAAACATTGTATTCTATTGTGATTATGGCTTAGTCATTCTTGAGTTTATCAGGATTCGAAGTATCGTTTTTTTCTTTTGTTGCTTCTTCAGATTTAGATGCATTCTTTTCTTCAGCTGGTTCATTATGTTCTGTTCTATTATTAACATAGCGATGAATTACTTTGTCGGTGATATTTCCAACTAATTGTGAAAGAAGAAGAATTGCAATAAAAACTGGTGGCAAAGCAAAGAAAAATGTTAAGAAAACACCAAATTCATCAAAATAGTTATCTGAAAAACCAAATATCTTCCAATTCTTTTCCATTATTGGTCCAAGCTGTCCAATACCTAGTGTAATGCCTAAACATAAAACGAAAACGATTGTTCTGCGTCGAGGATTTCTTCTGACCTTGAGAGCAATTATTAATAAAATTAAGTAAAGAATTATTGTTGTAACAATCGGAATATCTGTCCATTTTACTTTTGCAAATATGCCTTTGATGTCAACTTGGTATTCTGGTGTATGTGATCCCAGGATTTGTTGTTCTTCGGTCATATTGTCACTTTTTAACACATTTTCAATTGAAATATTTTTGTCACATTTCTGATTAATTTTAATTACAAAAATAGAAAGCACACGATTAACAACAAATTGAAATAAAAACGCAAAAAAATTAATATACAAAATAAAAGTGACAGATGAACTCTGATACTCAATTTCTTCAGTTAAACGACATTATAGAAAGAATTCATACAAAAATTCATAAGCATGGTATTACTGGACTCAGAAAGTATGCAACTTTGATGAAGGAAGCTGATGAAGATCCCGACAGATTAATTGATTTAACGGAAGAACTTCCTGATTTATTTGCTGACGCAGGAATTTACTTAAATTTAACTGAACACAAAGAATTATCAACAATTCTCGATGAAACGGGCGATAAAAAGGCCAAATTTTCAAGTATTATCAATAGAATTTCAATGCCATTAACACCAGTCAGAAAAACGGCCATTGCTGAAGCATTTAAATTCTTTAGCAATGGTGCAGATTCATGTGACCCACAAATTATTAAAAACTTCAGATATTCAAGAGATCATCCGTTAACTTTCGCAATCAAGAGAACACCTACAACAAAGTTATTAAATTCCATGATTATTATGCTTGGTAATAGTGAAGATGAAGTTACAGCCGAGGATTTTGAAAATTACTTTAGAGAAGCTGGATATCTTTTCCCTAAGGATGAAGATTTCGCCAAAATCCTTAAAGTTAATATTAAGAAACACGAAGTTACATATAGGAGAAAGACTTGCCGTAACTCTTTCACTTTTTAAATATTTTTATGTTTTATCCATATTTTAAAATTAACAAATATTTTTAGCTAGCCTTCAGTTACTAATCCTCAAAATATTGCATATATTTAATTGAATGAAAAATATATTTTCAAATTTTACTAAATTTGGGAATGATATATCCTGCAAACGTTCAATATTATCTAGTATAAATGATATTCAGTGCGTTTTTTATTTGCAAATGCCATGATCTTTATATGAGTAAATAATTCTTGTTTTTCTTCAAAGTAACACTCTTGGGCACTATTACTTTGTAAACTTAATGTTCTTTTACATATTTTGATGTTATTTTAGTTAATTGTGAAATTGAATGGGACAATTCTTCTAATATTTTCAAATAAATCGTGTTTTCACTATCACAAGATCAATAACTTATGGTACATGCTATACACACAAAGATATTTTGATCTTTAGTGATTGATAACTCCCCCTAAATAAAAGAATCTCCTACTAAAAAATGTCGAGAAATAACAACAATAGAAGATTTGGATTAATTGCTGGACCATCAGGACCTGACCAAGACAGGTTCATTGAACAACTAAAGAACGCAATAATATCAGAAGGACGAATAGAAGGCCAAAATCTTACGTTTAAACAATATCCAGATCATAATTGTGTAAGTATTGAAGCTACAACATATGAGGAGCAAAAGGCAATAGCCGAGTTATCAGGTAAAATTAATATTAACGGTACAAATATTCTGTTTTCAATCACTCATCTTGATGATTTAAATCAATATTTCGAGAATTTCAAAAATGTTGTTCCAAAAGCAATAAGAGGAGATAAAACTGATCTATCTATGCTATTTAAGAGATTCAATGGCTTTAAATTTAGCTGCAACTTCCCTCAAGCCATGTCTTCATTACTATTTTATACAGGATTATATGCACTTAGCCATAATAACAATATTACTATAATAAATCTTGCAAAAAATAATATGACAAATTATAATGGTATGAGACTTATTGGATCCTATTTTCCATCGCTTAAAATCATTTTTATTGGTGGAAATAAATTTAAATCCGGTGAAGGAAAACCTCCATTCCTTGGAGATTTCGATTTAAGAGATGAAATTCCTCCTTTGGAGATACAACAAGAATCAGATCATAGTGATTCAGATAGTGAATCGGCTGAAGAGACTAAAAAGCAAGAAGTATATGTAGATCCGCCTCCAATGATAAACTTCGAATATATTGAAGAGAAAAAGGTTATGAGTACAATAGATTTTGACGAATGTTATCACAATGATGATTATGTAACAAAATCTCAGCTCAGAGTCTTTTTAATTCCTTTCTTAAGATGTTTATCAGATAATCCACAAAATGCAAGCAATTATTACACTGATACTGCAGTTTTATCATTACTTACACTCAAACCAAAGAAAAAACCAGAAACTCCTTTATCTTTATATGATATAATTGCAACTGACATTACAAGAGGAGTTGCAAGGTATTGGAGAGGTTCAGAAATAACAGAAGGACTCAAAGAAATATTTCCAATAGGTTTCAAGCACAAAATCTCTTATTTAGTTACTCATCAAATTCATGATGAGCTTTATTCAATTGTTTTTCATGGCGCTTGCATCGGAAAGGAATGTTTTCCATTTTATTATGACAGAACTTTGACTCTGAAGAAGGAAAACAATGTTTATTTCGTTTGCAACGATTGTATCACCCTTAGAGATGAAAAGAGGCTGAAAGAGTGATTATTCATAGTTTGTATATTATGTTTGAATAAATAAAACTATTTGAAAATTATAGAATTAAAAAAAATCAAAAAGAAATTTTAGAAAAAAAAAATAAAAATATTATCATCAAACATGAAAAACCGAATCAAACAGATCGTTCACAATAAGAACTGAACAATTAATTACCTAAACTCTCTACTATCGGATGATGGACGACCTGATCCTGACGGAAAAAATCATCTGCAGCTTTTGTGTTAACAGAAGTTGAAGTTACAATATTTCTATGAGGGTCTTCTTCTTTATCTTTAATATTTTGAGAATCATTTTGGCTTTCATCATCGTCATTCGCACTACTATCACTAATATCATCTGTTTCATTTATTGGTATATTTTCTGTTTTAGTCTCGTTAGCTTCTTCCTCCGTGTCGTAAGTTTCGGTATTATTATCTGAAACGTTGTATGAAAATTCAAAGGATCTTTGTTTCTTTCCCTCATCCCCTTCAAAAGAAAAAGATTCTCCGAATACAATTGCATTTTTCGGTATCGGATCAATTTTGAAAAGTTTGTATCGAATTGCTTGAGCTATCGGTGGATGAACAAATCCCCTAGAAATTGAGTGCCTGAATTCCGAAGAAACAATTACGCAAATAAACGTAAAACATAATCCAATAATACCGGCAAGACCGCTTCCGAGTAGCTTATAGGCGCTTGTTAGTCTTGCTGTATAGTAAGGAGTGAGGCCTAGCGAGTGATTTCGGGTTCGCCGGCCTCGAAACGTACCCATGTTTTTTATATTGAAAAAATTCAGAACTCCAAAAAAATCTCAAATTTCTAAAAAAAAATAGGACAGTTTCCATGAAAAAGTTTATATATCTAAAAAGAGATTCTAAATCTCTATAAGGAGCATATCCATGTTATCAGCTTTAAATTAGCCGTTTGCCAATTGGCTATTGGAGCTATTTGACCAATCCGATTATTTTGTTTAATTTTGACACGTAAAAAGTAAATTTTTTCATTGAATTATCGTCAAAAAAATTTCTTCCAATTCCAAACATATCACTGCTAAATTTTCCTTGCAAGGTCGGATTAATCTCTGACATTACAGGAGGTACAACAGGGTTATCTGGAACTTTAATATTATCGAACGATCAAGGATCATTTACGCTAAGTTGGCAACCTGTGCAAAAATGGTCTTTTGTATCGCTATTTTGGGGACAATCTCAATCAAGTGCCAATAATAGTAGTAATTGGTCGCAAAATACCCAATTTACAATGAATTGCAATCAGATTTCCAGCATAAAATTTAGTGATTCTCCAATATCCTTTTCAATTTATCGAAATGATACTTCATGTGTTCGAACTTTCTCATTTGCAAATAATATAACACAAAATATTATGAAATTTGTTCAAATTTTATTTGATTATGGTATTGCAGTTCCAACTGATCAATATACTTTAATATTCTATCGTTCTTGCAATCAAAACACCATCAAGTGTGATTTATTCAATTCAAAACTCACTTATGATGAAAATTTCAGTATTGAAAAGTTTTGGCTGAAAATAAAATCATATTTTGAAGAACTCATCACATATTTATACGATAAAAATGCAATACCAAGCGATCCGAACTTCCCATTACCACTTGCAATCAAAGGTTGCCACGATATTACGTTAAATCAGATTGAAGTTACACAACTGCATAGACAACAGTATCCCAAGTTAACATACGATGTATTTACTACTCTATTTGACGAATCAGGGCGAATAAAAGACTCAATGTCTTTTTCAAAAAGATTATTCGTTTCTGGAGCAGATTCGTCCATACTACAGACCATATTACCATACTCCTTTGGCTTCTTTTACCTTGATTCGAGCGAAGAAGAAAGAAATGCCCTGGAAAATAACTTTAATTCGCTAATGAACCAAGCAATTACATATAACGAGGACAAAAATGAAAAGAACCAAAAGATTTTGGAGTCTTTTTCTCAAATTGACCAAGAAATTTCTGAATTTTTTTCAAAAGACTCTCCTCCCTTCAAATTATTGACAATTCTGCTCAAAACATACTGTATATATAATCCTAAGGACGGATACTTGCACGGTATGGCCAATATCCTGCTTCCTTTAGTTTTATTGTATTTTCCTGATTTAAATTTCGAAAATTCTGAACATTTTCTGCCATTAATATTCTGGAGCTTCACTGCAATGCTGTTTAACACCGAACACATCAAGATTCTTCAAAATCCGGAAGAAAATTGTCAGAAAATTTCAGAAAAAATCAGAAATATCATTGAAAATACAGCACCATTGACATTTTTATGGTTGAAATTGAATGGAATTCAAGATTTGACCTTTTTATTTAATGATTTTATTTATTTGTTTAGTAATTCACTTCAGAAACAGACAGAACTGCTGATTCAGGTATGGATAATGTTCAATCGCAGTCCTTCTCCTCAAAATTGGATTGTTTACTTCTCTGCTGCGATTTTATTGAAATTATTTGACAAATTCTGTCAATACAACCCTACTTTGCTTCGACAGATACTTCCTAAGCTCATATCTGAGATCAAACTCGAAGAAATCTCACGGTTATCGCTGTATTTATATGAAAAATCCCCTCCAATGTTTGGAAATTTTTCAAAATTACCGAAAAAGATCAGCGAAAGTCCAGATACAGGCGACGATACACAACTAGATCCTACAAAAGCATCAACCTACATAATTCCAACCCATTACGATAGAGATCTCCGCAGATCTAATCCAAATCAGATCGGATTCATGTTTACTCCGCTTCCTAAAGGCATAATTGCACCTCCTCAAGCGAGAATGCCTGGAGATAACATACCAAGATGCGGATATTGCGCTGCTTTTGTCAACAAATACACTGTTTTTGATAAAAAAGGGTTTTGTTGCAACATTTGTGGGTCAAACAATATACTAGACACAAAAGTCGACCTAAATAGCGTAGAATTGAACTATGAAGTATATGATTCTTACTTACAAAACAAGTATTTGATTAGAAAATCTTTCATTCCTACGGAATTCACAATTATTTCAATGAGTCTTTTCAAAAAGTTCCCATATATTTTAGATGATTTACTTAAATGTTATAGAAAAGTTGCAAATAATAGACAGATTGGACTTGCAATAATAAATGGTGGTCTAACTTGTCTTTTGTTTAGACCATCTTTATCGATACAGACATTTCCTGATGAAATACCGGAAATACCACTGTACCAGATATTTACAGGTATTCCATATTTCACACAGACGTTTTCGGTCATCAAAGAGAAAATTTATAATCTTCCTCAAATACATTCGAATAATGGTGCCGAAAATGTCATTAAATTCGCTTTCCAGATAGGTTCAAGGTACGGATCAAGCGTAAAACTGTTCTTTGATGAACAAGATTACAATATTATTAATAATCACAAGACATATAAAGATATTTGCATGCCAGTAACTGAATCCTGTTGCGAGATATCATTCCAAGTGTTTCCAAATGATGTTTCTCCGTTAGAAATTGATGAAAATCCATCTCCAAAAATTTCTTCTCAAAATTTGAATGGAAAAATACCAAACTTTACATCGGAAACAATAAATGATATTTTCCCATCGGAGACAGAGAATAAACCAGTTTTAGATTACAAAACCGAAGAAGAAGAAACAAATAATTTATCCAAATCTAAAACATTGGTAGAAATTGCTGCAATCACAGGAGGAACCTTCTCCATACTCAGGAAGCCAGATTTCGAGTACATAAACAGTTACACGCTCCATGATTCCTTCATTTACGCGAAAGGTCCAGGAGGAACAGGATTAACTGATTATGCAGGCGAAGGATTCCTTAAGAATGCTAAAGGAATATGTTGCGCAAAAATTGGTGTCAATCAGACCTTCTTTTTGACATATCCGGCGAAAAATATGACAACAAAGTACCTCCAAATTGCTTTGTTTTACACTACTGAAGTATGTTCAAGGAAAGTTCGTGTTTTCAACTTGAAACTGGATAATAATTGTCAATACAACGAAGGTGTGATTGATAAATATGTTTGCGCAATGGTTTCTAATAGTTTGATCGTAGAAAGCAAAGAAAGTGCTGAGAAACTTTACAATGAATACAAAAACAAATTTAAAGATGTAAATTTGTTTTTGACAGAAAATCTTTTGAAAACAAAATCTCCTGAAATCTACGAGAAGGCAATTTCGTATAGAGATGGATACACACTACATGCAAAAGCTGATCCTCTTTCAGATGAAATCGTTTCTGTTTAAATTTATTTATATATTTCTACTTTTTTTTTAATTTTTTATAATGATGCAATTATCATTTTCTGGCATTCTTTCAAAATGTGGCTTCATAGATGTTTCAACTTTTATAATGGCTATTCAATGATGACTAATTTTATTAGTATAATACTTTAATTAGACATTCATTATGAAATGAAAGAGTTAATGTCAGTATATATTATCAAAATGTTGGGGTTAAATATTTATAGTTGCATAGTTTGGCATATTGCGTAATAAGCAACATGAGCTTTAATTAACAATTCATTGTTAATTAAATACATAAATGACCAAAACAATGTGAGCTTCATATTTTTCTTCTAGGATCATTAAAAAGTTCCAGAAATTCAGGATTTATGACGGTATCGATTTTATTCTAATCATCTATTTATTCAAATGAGAAAAGCTTTTTTAGCAATTTAAGAAATTAAAAGCATAAAGAATGAGGGAATGCGTTGATGAGAATCATTAATCAATGCATTACATGAAATACACATTTTATTAGAATAAATATAGATAATATCTGATGCTTTAAATCTACAATCATAAAAAGCAGAAGCAGCGATTGTTGGCTTATTTTGATGATAATAGCGATTAATAACAATTTTATCAATGCAATTCGATACTCTAAAAACCTCGGTTGAAATGTCAATAACAGATTCAGGTAATATCAAATATTTAAGATAAACAAGATTTAAAAAACATGCATGTCTTAAAGTTTCAACTCCGCTCGGTACAATGAAAAATGTCTCATTTTTGGATGCCGGATAATAAATCAAACTTTTCATATCTTTGGTGTACAAAACACCGTCAATTGAACAAAAATATTTGTTAGAAGGATCAACATCAATTTGTGACATCTGATTAGTTGCATCAAAAGGATTAAGGCGATGAATATAATTAACATTAGCAGGAATTTTTAAATATTTGACTTTAGTGCCATAGAATATTTGATCTTCTATTTGTAATAGTGACGATGGGAGGGTAACATTTTTTAAATTGATGAATTTTTGAAAACAAAAACTTGGAATATATTTGTAACCTTCTAATATAGTTATTTCAACATAATCAGTAAATGGTAGATCATCTGGAAATGAAACTGTATCATCATCATGATACTCTAATTCATAGCTTAATTCAAGGCTTGGAACTAGCTAAAGTTACAAAGAAAAAAAAATTAAATTTTGAATAGTTTACATTTCTAAAGATAACCTTAAAGTTTATATCGGCGCCAAATAGAGAACTAGAGTCTGTGAGGTACTGATTCTATCCATACACCTCACAGACACTAGTTCCAAGCTAAAGTGGCTAAAAATTGCTCTCAATGTCAACAATTGCGAGCAATTTTTTTGCATTTTTGGTTGGGAATTGGAGAGTGAGAGTATTATTGTATGAAATAATATCTCTCACCCTCCAATTCAACCTTAGGAGCCGAAAATCGCGATTATTGACTTAGAATTAAATTGATAGCCGTTTAAAATTTTGATGGAATCAACAAAACTTTCTTATGCTTCGGAATCATTACTAAGAATGGCTAATGAGATGAAAGACATCGAAGAAGAGGAAGAAGATACTCTTTCTTCAGGTTCATTGAACGAATATCAAGCACAACTAAATCAATTCAGGGCCGACCAAGAAAAGACGAAAGCAGTGCTTGAAAAGATCAAGAAAGAAGACCAAAACCATTCAATAAGCTATATGAACGATCAAAATGAACTTGGTGATAAAATACAAGAAATTCAAAAACAAATGGCTGATTTAGAAGCAGAAAAACAAAGATTACTAAACGAACACTTTAGCAGTCTTAATGGTGTATCTGATATTACTTTCTCCCGTAGTTCTTTTATGATGAGTAACACTCCAATTCAGCCAAAATCTATCCTTAAGAAGCTAACAAAAACACCAGAAGTATCTCAACTCGATTCTTCATTCGATCAGAACGGTAATTTAGAAATCGCTCCTTCTCCAATACAAAAAGATAAGATTTCAACATTAAATGCAAAAATATTAGAAGAAGCTTCATACAGAGAGCAAATATGCCAACTCTTTATCGATTTTGTAGATACAGTTAAAGAAAAATACGGAGAATCTACTTCTTTTGAAGATATTAAGTCAACACTTTCAAAATTATCAAATGAAAGATCAAATGTTGATGTCTATCTAAGGAATATAGATAGTATGATACTCAAGATAAAGAATGGTTCACCACAAAAGAAACAATCATCTCCTCAGAGACCAAAAATTAATAAAGATGATGAAAGAATCAAAGTTTTATCAAAGAAATGTCATGAAATTGCAGAAAACGTATTACAAGTCTTTGATTATACTGCTCCTTCAGAAGAAGAGATTATTAATAATCCAAATGTCTTAAATGAACTTTCAAACGATATTAAGTTGCTTGTTACCAACAAAGTATCCGAATATAATAAGACAATCATGATATTGAACGAACAGATTAAAAATTACCAAAGACAAACGCTTTCAAATCAATCTCAAGCAACAATTAACGATGTTATGAAATTGATGAACCAAATCAAACAAGAAACAGAGCAGAATCATAAAGCACTATTCCATTAAACTTGTTTTCATAAATAAATTATACTGTTTAAAGAGTTTTTTTGAAAATACAATTTAATTTTTTTACCCTTTTATAAAAAATTTCAACATATTCTGAATATCAAGGTAAATAGATCAATACTTTATTCAATTGAATTTGATAAATTTTTTATCAAACGTACATAAATTTATATAGAAAATGGGGAAGGGTGATACTCTTGGATTTTGCGTTGCCCTTGGCCATTCACTTTATGAATATCCATCATGTATCTTTTGGTATATAACATTGTCCACAATTATAAGTTATTTAGTCATATTTTCCAAAAATTACATATTTCAAAAGCAAAAATCCATTGTGACAACTTTAGTTATGATCCATTTGTCGAAATAATTATATTGCACCATTTTTCTAATCATAACTTCACTAATTTTTTTGTCAATTATTACTTATTACCTGACAAACTATTATAGAAGGACACATAGAGATTCAGATTCGATTACAAAGATAAAATTAAACATATGCCTTGTTTGTTACGGATCTATATCGGTTTTGTACGTTTTATTCTTATTACTTAGTTCAATTCTACCTCAAAATTCATATTTACTATTAATAAGTTATATTGGTTTTTATGTAACTCATCCATTTCTTCATATTATACCAAAAACGATAGTTAAACTTAGACATTTTGCGAAAAAGTTTCGCGGAACTATTGTATTATGTATTTTAGTGGTTAATCTCTTTATTGAAGTGCCACTAATCATTTATTGCTTCTACAAATCAATTACTGAAGGAATATTAATTCAAATTACTTCAATTTTATTTATTGTTTCATTTTTCATGCATGCAATTAGCTTTCTTTATGACGCAACAGCTGTTTTAGGCCATAGGTTTGTCAAATTATATTTGTACATGCCATCTGCGATAAATCGCATGCCTATTTCTAGACATAGTTCTTTTACTGCTTGAATAAATATTAGCGTTTGTTTACTATACTATTTTTACAATGAAGTGATTCTCTTAGGAGAAATGAGATAAAATGTTAACAGCCTTCGAAAGTTTTGTTACAGGCGTGTAGAATTATAAGAGTAACGAAAAAAGATGATTTATTATGATATTAATATTTTCGATGTCGTGTAGAAATCAGAATTTGAATGAAGAATAATCGTTTGAAAGAGATTTGATTTTTTTGTCAATTTTTTTTTCTTTCGATTTTTTTTTATTAGATGGATAACCTCTCAAATGCCTATTCATTTGAGAACCATCCAATTATACAGACCGTCAAATTGAAACCTCCTGAGATTCCTCAGAATACTGATTTCCTTTTTGATGTTTTAGTATATCATCACAAGATAATCCCGTCAGATAACGACCTCATTACGATGTACAAGCAGTTCCGCAATAAAGACAAAATAGAAACGATCTTATCTCCGTTAAAACTCGATTTCGTCTTCAATCCTTTATGTCTTAACAGATTGATAGCAAAAAAAGAGTGTACTCAAATTGCAATGTATTACATTCTTCATTCGGCAGTCGCTTATATTATTTCTCTTGAAAATTCATTTGATTTTGATGGATTTTTGGTTGTATTATCAGCTTTACGAATGATTTCTGTGCACCCTTATTGCAAATTAGCGCCACTGATGTTCTCTTACGTTATTTTTTCCTCAGTTAAATACACTGACAAAATAAATGTCGATTTATTGATGGATCAGCTGGTAGAAATGACATCAAAGTGCTCGAAACCACCACAACAGTTAATATCTGCGCTACTCTTTATGGTATTCTCAATTAATTACAATGGAAAACTTGATACAAAATCCGAAACAATAATTTCGTTCATTACTGAAATAATTCAGACATCACCGGATTCAATTAACGAGATGCATGCATCAGCGATATTTGAAAGGTGCTTTGACGATCTCAGACTTTTAAATTTAAATTCATTTACATTTATTCACAAAATCGCTACAAAACTACCATGGAACAGCGTCGAATTATTCTTTACAGACATTGCATTCTTCGTTGCGTCATATATCCATCAACATAACGAAAAATTTATTGAAAAACTAAGACCGATTGATTCGAGGAAGCTTTCTTACCAACCACCAGAGAGGACACATTCATTACAGCCAGGATCAATGGATGATTCCTTAGTTTTGGCAGATTCCAAAAAATCTTTTCCAATAAACTCAATACAAGTTTCTGGATCATTAACTTCATCTGAAAACAAAGAATTACAACAAAATGAGTCTACAGGCAAGAAATATGACAATCCTTCCGTATTTAGAAATTCAAATATTAAATTTATCCAAATTCCTGAGACATACAAACTGAAATCCAAAGAAATATCAATGATAATGCAATATTTACCTGATAAATCACCATTCAGTTCCGAAATTCCGAAGTTTTCTCAACTTTTTAATTTATCTCAGTTATTTCAACTTCCTCCGTCATTCATTGACGTTGAAAGAAGGATTGCCTACATCGTGAGAATCGCACAATCATTTGAAAAGGCTCAGAACATCATTATTGACTCATTTATGAATTTATTAAGGAACAAATTCGACCTGGACATCGCTTTTGCATATATAATTTTACTTTCCAAGCTCAAACAAGTTCCAAACTGTACAGAACTCTACGATTTAATCAAGAAAAGAGTTTTTGATCCAAGAATTACGATTTTTGATGCACAAAAAGCGTTTATTCCTTTACTTCAGATGAGAATGATATCATATAAAGTGTTATACAACTCAGATGACTTCGAAATTTCGAATTTTGTCGGTGATTTTATTTCATATCCAAAAATGATTTCTGAAATCATTGTTATTTTGAAAGAACTCTATCACCAAAAGAATATTCCGCCAAAAGTCATTGATAATTTGTCTCTAATCTTCTCAAAAATTGTTCCAATTTACATGAACGCATTTCGCAACGGAGAAGAAGCGATGACAGCACCTGTTTTGCAAGTAATCTTTGATTTCATGATCGATTTATTACAAAACGATTCGATTGGATCAAGTTTTCTCAATAGAGATATATTTCTTTCATTATTAATGTCATTAATCTTCGATAAGGCCATAAGGAAACCGATATTAACAATAATAGTCAGAATATTATCAAAAGACGTCTCAAATTCCTGTTTATTCAATTTTAGTGCGATATCATCTGGAATCATGAAATGTTTTCCAAGTTCTCAATCAAAGAAAGCACTAAACTTGATATCAGACCTTCTCTTAGCCATTTCGGACATTATTGATTCAAAACCAGACACAATTGATTTATTTAATAATATTATTGAAGATATCAAATCGATTTTGATGTTTTCATTGGAGCAAGAGTTCACAATTGCCTGTCTCATATCTATTGTCAACTTCTTTAACTCCGTTTCCAAGAAATACTGGTTAAACAACGCAGAAAGAAAATTGTTAAGTGATTCAATACTTAAATTGGCCGGCCAATCAAACAAAGAACTTTTTGACTCAATGTTTTCATTAATCATTGGAAAACGTAATAATTTATCAAGAGATAATTATATTTATAATACGAGATATTTAGTCACTTTTTATATCGTTTACGGTTTGAAAGCGGTTTTGACATTTGAAGAATTATCAAAATTTGCATATTTTAATTTGTACCAATTACATTTAGGACAAATTGATTTGCAAATTTTGAATAATTGGGAACAAAACGGTTTTGTAAACTCCAATGAGAAAAACTTGTTTGAAGAAATTGCAAAAATTTCGTCTTCAATGAAAGTTGTCAATACAACGATTTCTTTGATGTGTCCGATAAGAAAAGACGATAACTCTACAAAAATGTCAAAAAATATTGTAAACATTGTTGACATTTTAGAGAAATTGTTTGTATCTAAACTGGACAACCCTGTTTGTTCAATTCCATTAATTAATCATAAGAATTTGATTTCAATTAAACCGCCAAAAATCATGTCAAATAATGAATCAAATTTGACATTTCTTTTTTGGCTGATTTATGACAAAGGAAGTGAATCATCGAATTTGATTAAGATAATACAAGGACAAAAATATTTACAGATGACAATGGAAAAGAATGAAATGACAGTTAGTTATGGAGAGTTACAAATCAGATTCAAAATGACAACAATGATGCCGAATGTTTGGACATTATTATCTGTTACTTTTACTAATAATGGAATTGAATTTGATTGCAACAAGAAACACCAGGAATTCTCTTTTCCTTTCAACATAAAGAAGAGTGATGAAATAATCATTGGTTTCCAGGGAGAAACTAACAATCATCCAAGTAGATTAGGTCCATTCTCTATTGTTTCTAATATAACTAAAAATGATATAGAAACAATAAAGAAAATTGGTCCTCACTCTCATTCTTTAGAAAACACTTTAGTAAGTGTTGGAATTGAATGTCAGGAACATGTTGTTAAACTGGAAATAAACAACGTAAAGAATGAGTTTTCCGTGTTATTGAAAACTACTTCGATTCCTGCTGTTCTTGGTTTCACTGACATTTTAATCAGATATTTTACTTCTCAAGTTTTGGTTCCAATTTTCGCTCAATTTTTACTAAAAAGTGACAAAAACGATAAATCTATCAAAACTAAACAAATTGTCACTGAAGAAACTAACAAAGAACAAAGTACTAAAACTGAAGAAAAATTGGAAAATAAAGAAAATTCTTCTAATGAAAAAGTGACAAAAATTGAAGTTGAAAATAAAGAACAAATAAATACAAATGAAATTGGAAATTCTTCTAATGAAAAAGTGACAAAAATTGAAGTTGAAAATAAAGAACAAATAAATACAAATGAAATTGGAAATTCTTCTAATGAAAAAGTGACAAAAATTGAAGTTGAAAATAAAGAACAAATAAATACAAATGAAATTGGAAATTCTTCTAATGAAAAAGTAACAAAAATTGAAGAAACAAAAGAAGAAAAATCAAATGAATCAAATGAAGAAACTATTAAAAATTCTAAAGATGAAAATCCTGAAAAATCTCCAAATGAAAATTATTCCAAGAATGAAACAGTTGTCGATCAAAAGGATGAAAAGTCAAATGAAAATGAAACTAAGAATGCAGTAAGTGAAGGAAATGTTTGTGATCAAAAAGAAGAAACTAACAATAGTTCAAAGAATGAAACTAATAATTCCAATGCTGATAATAATACAAAGAATGAAAATAAAGATCAAATGAAAGTAAAGAGTGTGAAAATTGAAGTTACAAATGTTAGTAAGAAAGAAGTTGATTTGAATGCAGAAGATGATATGAAGAGTGATGGAGAGTTATATGAATTAATAAGGTCAGAATCGAATTCAAACATTGAAACATCAGATATTTTGTTGAAAACAATTTCTTTGTTTAGAATTTTATTTACTGTTTCAAGACGAACAGAAAGATTCTTTGTAGACGAAAAATGTTGGCAAATCATTTCATATTTAATATCCAATTACCAACATTTACTCACAGAATCATCATTCAACGCCTTCTACGACATTTTCCTTCATTCAACACTTATTGAATTCAAAGAAGATATTTTAAGACACATTTTGTTGAATCCAGAAATTTGGATCAAATCAAGTACTGATGTTTTAGTTCGTGTAACATTCCATTGGTTCAACACTATTCTTCCTTTGGAGAATTCAATAAGATTAAGTTTCTCTTTGTATTACGGATTATTTATCAAAACTTTGTGGTCAAATGATTTAGACAAAAGTGAAGCGATTGATTTAATAAGAACTCATGCAATTCAATCATTGATACAATTGGGAATTTCTTCATTCACTCAAAGAGATTTCACTCTTTTGTTTAATACGGTTTTGACAACAAATAACGATAAAATAATCGTCAGCAGTCTTGAAATTATTCAAGGTTTGTGTTTGTCGAAAACGAAATGTCTGAATAACATTGATAACGAGACATGGAAGAGATTTCCAAAGATATTGGAGTTGACGAAGAATTCAAATGAAAATGTTATTTTGGCGTTGATCAAAACTTTTTGTGCTTTGAATGATTGCGGAATATTTACTTACAAAATTTTCAATGTGTTCATTGAAATTTTCAATATTTTGGTCGGCCAACAATATCATACTCATGTTTTTCTTACGAGCCTTTGTAAGTTGTCCGAATCTAAACCAGAATTACTACAATTAGTTTTCTCAACGATGACTTACAATCCATTGTTAATTCCAAGTTTAATCAAGAGCGGTTTGACACCGTCAAATTCTTTTTGTGTGAACAAAGCATGGTCATTTTGGCCTTTGATATGTACAGTTATTAATCCTGATGAACTGAATTTGAGGTTCATTTTCAATTTCATTTTGAGCTGCAGTTCGAAAGATTGGACAACAATTTTCTTGATTTTGACAATGATTTCAAACGATAACGATATAATAAGGTTATTTTTATTTGAAGCCTTGACAAAAACTCGTCAGTGCATACATACGTTTTCTGATAACCAAATTAATGATTTGATTAATTTCTCTTTGTATTTCATCTTCTACAAGACACATGAAAATAATTTTTTCCATGTTTCAAGAGCAAAAAACAAACCTCCTGTTTCTCCGGATAAAAAGAGCAAAGTCAAGAATTTGATGGAAAAATTGAATGCTAGTTTACAACCGTCAAAACCACATTACGGTTTGGATATTGACTTCGATGAAGAAGGCAAATTATTGTGGAAAGATAATTCCATTGCAGAATTAATTTTGGAAATTTTGAACATTTCACAAAACAAAAATTTTGATTCTGCAGCAGCGATTTTGGCTTCATTTTTGACTTATCACAAAAAAGAAGCATCTAAGAAGACAATATTAGAGTTTTTGGAGCACCATTCGCCAAGTAATTCATCAAAGAACATGCTTAGATACAATCTTTATAAGAATTACAATTTCACTGTTGAAGATTATTATGACAAAAGTTTGTTGGATGCAATTCCTGAATTTTTGTCACTTTTTGAACCTAAAAAAGACTATTTCATAATAGAAACTACCATTATTGCGAAGTTCATTGTGAAATACATGTCCCAGTGTCAAAACAAACTTCTTAAATACCAAAATCTTGAATCTGACACTTTACAAAACCGCCAAAGAAAACAACATCAATTTAATTTAGAAGACATGATAGAAAGGATTGAAATGACTCACAAGAACTCACAAGACGGCTGGAGAATGTTCTGGTCCAGACAAACAAGGAATTGCGCTCCTTGGCACAAATCAATTCCTTATTCCGACAACCAAATTTATTATAAACTTGATCAGACGATAACCAGTCACTTTTGTCCGATGAAATTGAAAGTTAACAAGAATTTTGATGACCACAAAGAAGCCAGTTACGCGAGAGACTCCGGAAGTCAAACAAAAGCTCAAGAAATGGTCAGAAAGTATTTGGAAGAAAACAGACCTGTTGAAACTTTACCACAATTGTTGAGTGTTTCTGACATGGATAACTCATCGGCAACTAATTACGACGATGAAGAAGAAGGAGTAATATTCTCAGATGACGCAGAACAAATCAAACTTCTATCAACGAAAAACGTCAAATTCACAATCAAAGCAAAATTCATCTCAATATCTAACAAAGATAAAAAAGATACTGTTTTCATTCAATCTGAAAAAGTGACAATGGTACTTTTAAGATTGTTTTCGATGCATCCAACAGGATTAGAAGTATTCACAGAAAATGGAGAAGGTTATTTAATCCATTTATTGAATTCCGACGGTTTGACAGTTCTCAAAATTTTGTCAAAAGTCAAAAACTATCAAAAAGCACGAATTCAAACTGTTTTGTACAAAGATTTCGTGAATCAATTTGATTTCACGACGAAATGGCAAAACGGGGAGATTTCTAATTTCGAATATTTGATGTTTTTGAATGTTATAAGTGGCCGATCATTTAATGATTCGTCAATGTATCCTGTTTTTCCATGGGTTGTCACGGAATACAACTGTGAAGACATAAAAGATTGCCAGTACAGAGACATGTCGAAACCAATTGGTTGGTACGGAGAAAATCGAAGAAAAGAGATAATCACGAGAATGAAAGACATGGAAAGTTTCGGAGAACCTGTTTTCATGTATTCTTCGTGTTATTCAACACCTTTGACTGTTTTCTTGTATAACTTGAGAATGGAACCTTTCGCAACTTTGCACATCCGCATGCAAAGCGGAAAATTCGACCACAGTCCTCGACTGTTTAACTCTGTAAATGACGCGTTTAGAATGATTATGAATCATATAAACGATTACAGAGAATTGATTCCTGAATTCTTTTATAACCCTGCGATATTTGAGAATAGAAATAACTTCGATCTCGGAACAGTTTCCGGAAGAAGTTGTTCAAATGTTGTTCTTCCGAAATGGGCAAAGAATCCTCTTGAATTCGTTTATCTCCACAGGAAATGTCTCGAAAACGTTTCGAATCTTGAAAAATGGATTGATTTGATTTGGGGAATCGACTCAAGAGGACAAAACGCTCTTGATAAGTTCAATCTCTTCGATCCTCACATGTATGATGAGATCTGGAATAACCCTGACAATCTAAAGGATCCGTTGAAATCAATGATTGAAGCAACAATGACAAATTGCGGCCAAATTCCTCCTCAAATTTTCACTTCACCTCATCAGACCAAAGTCAAAAATACTAATCAAATTGTAGTTAAAAAGCGAGTGATTAATTTGCAAGTGAATGGAATAATTGGTAGCGAAATTGATTATCGAAATCAAACTGTTTACATGATATCCCAAAAAGGCCAAATAATTCAAGTTTCGATGACTGGCGGCCAACCATCAGTCAAAGGCAAAATTGATCCAGAAATCATCACTAAAAGGAAAGGAACAATCACTTGTTTGATGAAACATTTCTTGCTCATTGCAACAAATGTAAGTTACGTGAATTGTTTCGATGTAAACAAATTAGAACTGAAGGAATTTTCATCACATTACGGAACAGTCAGTTGTTTGTCATCTGATGGAAATATATTTACTTCAGGGGGTGTCGATACTTCTATCAAAGTCATGGATTCTAATTTCCAGACTTTGTTTACTTTCGTCACTCATTCTGATGAAGTAACTTCAGTTTTTACTTCTCAAATCTTCAAAACAATTATAGCAACAACACACGATGGAAGAGTTTTCTTTGTTGATTTGAGGAGACAAGATGTTTATAGAGAAATAACAATTGAAAATGGATTCCCAAGGAATGTTGTTGTCACTCCTGGATGGGGTTTCGTTGTTGTTTATTTCACAAAGAATGAAAATGCTGTTGAAAATTCTTATATTTCTGTTTATAGTATCAATGCGGAATTAATAAGAACTTTCAAGATTCCAGGAACATTAACAGCAATGACTTCATTCGAAAGCTCGTCTGGTTTCGATTACGTTTTGTTTGGATTAGAAAAAGGAACAGTTTACGGATTCGAAGCCTTCTTTGGATCTACAGAAAAATTAGTTAAAATTGAAGATATACAAGAACCTATTGCTTCATTGGCACATAATCAGAAACTTCATGAAATATGCGCTGTTTCTGCACTAGGAAATGTTTATTTATTCGGAGATCAACAAATCTACAGAAATTAAATTTGTAAAGTATTTTTTTTATATTAATAAATTAGTTAAAATTAAGGATGTCGTTTTGTCCCCCAGGGGGAATATTGCGTCCCCCACTTGGGGGACGCTGGGGGACAAAAATTGAGGAACTTTGTTTGATGGAGTCAGAGTATATTTGTAAAGTGTCAAAATAATAATTGATTAATAAAGTTCAAGTATTATAATAGATACAGCATTTTGTTAATATTCAAAATATATTTATTTGGCTTTCATTGAGTTTTCATGTGTTTTCAGCGATTTGAAAATTTAAATTTGCTAAATTTTTTGCTATAGATGCTTTTTAATGGACTATTTTTGTTTTTAATTAATGGGAGTAGATTAATCAATAATAAAATCCCTATCGAAATTCTATCATCAAGCGTCACTTTTTGTTCTCCAGTCCCCACCCATGGGGTGGGGGCCAAAAATCCATTCAATTTTGAATGTCCCCCAGTCCCCCATGGGTGGGGAAAAAAGTGACTCCCCATATAGGCATGCATATTTTTATACAATTATATTTATGTTTTGATAACAATATAATTCAACCCATTAAAATGGAGATGAGGCTAAGATTTTCAAAAATCATTTCTCGATTTTAACTAAAAACATTTGGTACCCATATAAATGCATCAGATATTAGGAGGTTAGTTGTATTTAACTTATAATTATCCATAATTTTTTCATATTTTTAATTTTTTTTAATCCTTTGGAACAATGATATAAAATCCCTCTATTTATGTATATTAGCAATCTTAAATAATATTTTGGAACCTAAGAATAAATACTTGTATTCTTTGGCTAACAATTATGACAATTTACAAAAATATTTGACACTTTACATGTCCCCCAGAGTTCCAAAATTATTTGGTCGGGTCCCCAATTGTCCCCCAAGCGACATCCTTAAGTTAAAATTTATAAGCTCCATTTTTAAATAAATTTTAAAAATCGAGCATTGAAAAGTGTGATGAGACTTGATTTTACTACTCTGTTGCCGAAATCACAAACTCACTCTTCGACCTCATGTACGCTAAGCGCGCCTTCGTTCACAGAATTCCCAGAAGCTCGTGAAGACCTTGCCCTCCTCGAGAAGGACTACGAATAAGTCGCTGCTGATTCAGTCGAAGGTGGCGATGAGGAAGAAGATGGTGGCGAAATGTAAATTCGCTCATTCCTAAAACATTATTATTAATGTTCGTAATTCGATATATTTTTCTCATGATCTTAGATTTCAAGTCATAATCTTAAAATTATTCAGATCCATGTTCATTCATATTGGATGAATAATTCTAATTTTTGCTAAGCATAGTCATGTTGTAACTATGTTGACTTATTATAATGGTCTGACTATTATTACCTTAAAATTATGAAATTTGAGCTTGAGAATGGAGAAAAAGAAGGTAAAGAAAAAAAAATAAAGGAACCGAGAAAATTTGGTACTTATCTAGCCTCCTATCATAGTAAAACTCACTCAAATAAGATGATTATGAATTCTCTATCTTGCCTTTAAAATGTATCAGAATAGGGTTGTATATGACTTAGCTTAGAATGGTATCAACAATTATGTTTTTACCCCTTATGAGATAAATTTAACTGCCGGAAAATGGAAAATTGAGTGCTGGGGTGCTAGTGGTAGTAGTTATGATAATTATGGTTACGGTCTTGGCAGCTATACTAGTGGTATTTTATCACTCGAAAGAAATTTAACACTATATGTTCATGTTGGAGCACAAGGCGGAAAACCACAGCTGTTTATGGCGGGGGTGGCTCAGGACAAATAGGAGGTGGTGGTGCCTCCGATGTTAGATTGAATCCAGGACCATATTTTGATGAAGATGGATTGAAAAGCCGAATTATGGTGGCCGCTGGTGGTGGGGGATACGATTATGAATTTAGTGGTACTCCAGCTGGTTCTGGTGGCGGCTTGAAAGGTTTTGATGGCGATGGAAAGGGAGGAAACCAAACCTCTGGAGGTGATGGTTTATATAAGGGTTTTTTTGGTCTAGGAGGTGGAAATGGAGAGAGAGTGCATGCTTACGGCACTCCTGATGGAAATGCAGGGGGTGGCGGGGGCTATTTTGGAGGAGGGACTTCAGACTTTTTTTGGAAAGGCTCAGCCGGCGGTGGAAGTTCATACATAAGCGGTTACCCAGGATGTATTTCTGTTGATAAAGATTATACTCAGAATAATCCTAAATTTTCTACTGCAGAAGATCCTTCGATCCATTATTCGGGAATAAAATTTGAGAATCCAATGATTATTGATGGGAAAAGTCCTATGCCTGTTCCGAGTCTTAACAAATCAATTCCAGAGTATGGCCATATAGGAAATGGACACGTAATCATATCCACAGCTGAAAAATATGATTATCCATATTTCTCTCGAATTACTGCCATACCTTACAAAGTTAAATGTTCAATTCCATTGAAAATTGGACGCAATTTTGATATTTTCTTCACACTATCTATTGTGTACTTGTCTCTTGGATAAAAATCACACCTATATCACTGGTCGTTTTTGTTGATAACTTCGATAAATAAAGACTTTTTCAAGTGCATTTGACCTGAAGAAAACATAATCCTTTAATAAAATAACAGAGTCTGGAATGGTTACGTATTTAAGATAAACAAGATTAAAGAAGCGTGCATGCGATAAAGTTTCTGTTTCTTTTGGAACAATAAAAAATGATTGGTTTTTTGACGCCGGATAATGTATCAAACTTTTCATATCTTAGGTATACAAAACACCGGCAATAGAACAAAAATATATGTTTGCAGGATCAACATCAATATGTGATAGTTTATAGCTTCCATGAAACGGATTTCCAGGAAAAAGATAATTCACATTTACGGGAATTCTTATATACTCATCATTAATGCGTAATAATGAAGAAGGAAAGGTGATGTTTTTTAAATTGTTGAACTCTTCAAAATATCTTTTTGGAATAATCGTGAAGCCTTCGTTTATAGTTATTTCAACATAATTTGCATAGACCATATCATCTGGAAATGAAACTGTTTGGTTATCAATATACTCTAATAAAAGGGAAAAAAAATAGCAAAAATTCACTTATAAAAACCTTAAAGCTTCCATTCTAGTGATTCAATTTATCTAACAAACGACTAAGTCAATTAAAAGAATAATTTTTTATTTTTTATGATTGTTGCAGCACCATACATAGTAATTAGCGTATTTGGGACAATCGCAGTTGCTCTATATATGGCTGGATGCATTGTTGATGGCCTATGGTGGTCATTTTTCACAATTTTTTCGCAATTTTTATGTCGATTTTTGGAATTTCACTGTCATATAAGTTAAATATAGATTATTTGGAAAGAAAAATAGGATGTGATCCATTTACTGCAGATGCTGTCGTATTTTACTTATTACTTTCAATATCTTCATCCGTTGCATTCCCAATTGTTCTATATCATGTTACTCTCATCAGTTCTACATGCTTTTGGTTAAATATCGCAGGAGATATTTCTGCTTTCATAGGTTTTAATTGTTTTATTGTGTTATATAATCGATTATACAGTGATGAAATATGAAGCACATCAATTCTAAGAATATTTATTATTAGTTCTGTTGTAAACAGAAATTCATCAAAAGTGACACCTCAGAAAAGCTAAAATATTGAATTTTTGGAACTTTTGATAGAGCACGTTTTTAAATATTAATTAAAGTAAATGTATATGTTGTAAAGATTCTTTTTAATAAAAAAATAAAATTTTGAAGAAGAACACAAAATCTTCTGAAAAATAATATCACATAAACTCATATTATTTTCTAATATATAACTATTTTATATAAAAATCAAATTCAATGATCTTAAAAGCGAAGGATAAACCTCAAAATTTACGAATATAATGAGTGGGAATATAATGCTTATCTATCATAAAACCATATGAAATATCAATTTTTGCTTTACGCCTAATTTTTGACGACAATTAGCAAAAAATGTTAAATGTTAACACTCAGTCCATTTGAATATGAAAAATAAAATTGACTTTGATTAAATGTTTTTATTTATCATGCAATTCTTCTTGCGACCAAAGATTTGAATAAAATTTCAAAAAATAAGATAGCTTAAAAAATAATATACGGTAGTGTTTACTAATAGATGAATAGTATATAAATTCTATTAAAATGGATTTGATCCAAAAAAATATACAAAATTTGATCATAAATAAAATTGTTTTAAATTACTTCTTCATTTAAATTATAACAATTATTTTTGGTTTTATATTTTTTTGGATCAAATCCATTTTAATAGAATTTATATACTATTCATCTATTAGTAAACACTACCGTATATTATTTTTTAAGCTATAGGGTGTCCAAAGGTGTGTTTAGCACAAACCTGAATACTGCGAATAGAAATAAACAAGTTACATATATATAAAGTTTATTTAAATATAATCACCATTGGATTCAATCACGCGTTCGCAGCGATCGATCCAGGCTTGAAAGACACGCTTTAAATCATCATGAGAAAATTGCTCAAATTGCTCTCTTACAAAATTTTCAAGATCATCTGGACTCGCGAATTCGCGTCCTTCAGCTCTCTTTTTTAGCGTGCCGAATAAATAAAAGTCAGAGGGTGCAATATCAGGTGAATAAATTGGGTTTGGAACAACTTTGACATTGTTTTCCACCAAGTAATTCATTACCTTATGACTTTTGTGAACTCTTGAATTATCAAAATGAATTGCAAACTTTTGTTTTTGTTGTTTGGATTTCTCAAACTCATCAGAATTGATAATTTGAGTAAGAACATTGTCAATTAGATACTGAGCATTCATCGTATTAGGTTTTTGAAGAATATCAATTGCGATGATGCCATTCACGCCCCAAAAAACCGACAACATCATCATTGGTGTGTCAATTTTTTTCTTCGGGAATGTTTGCGGATTTTCATCCTTCGGATCCACATGATTTTGGCTTCTGTTGCATATTGAAACCAAGACTCGTCCCCTGTTACTAAAAAGCG